CGTGAAATTTTGTTTAATTTCTTGTGTGTCCATTAGTTACCGAACTCCTTTGTTCCTTGCAATGTATTTTGCCACATAGTTCATGATTGTTAATAATACAGAGAGTTGTTATACTATAATATTAATAATATTACAACAGTTATTTTGAGATAAATGATAACTTATATGTAATATATTTTTTATTAATTTTGTTTTTCAATTTATTGCATTAATTATATTAAAAATTGTTGTATAAATTATATATATATATATATATATATATATATATACACAATAAATACATATACAGACACATGCATGTAAAAAAAAAAAAAAAAATATATATATATATACAGAGAGATCTTACATTATTCACATTTGTATATAATCATAATTTATAGCGCGACACTCGCAAATAATTCAAAATCTTTGAATTTTGAATAAGGGTACTAAAAGTAAAATATAGAAACTAGGAAAGCTAAATAAATATTTGTCAGAAATATTAAAAATCATATATATCAAATAATATTATTAAAATAAAGCGATGGAAATATTTATCTGCGAAAGAATGAGCGTCAAATGATTATTCAAGCCATTGCTTGATTTACCATGGTGCCATTAGACTTTATGAGTCATAAATGAAAATGAAGATATAGAGAAAAATTTTATTTTGGTCAGACAAAATACGCATGGCGTATTTTTCGTGCGATTTGATGTTAACGAATAATGTACATTCGCAAAATTTCGATATATAATGTGAGCAAAATTTAAAAGAAAAGTCTAACATAGATATACATATTTAGAAAAAGATATATTTGAAAAAGGAAATATTAATTAATCTTTATTTTATTTAAAATATAATTAATTTTAATATGTAAATATGTATATACATATGTAATACATAATAAGCAATAGAAACTATAAAATATTGCTTATTATGGAATTTTTAAGAAATCTATAAAATAAATTTGTCTAATTAATATTTAGCTTAAGTGTCTATAAAAAATATTAAATTTAATTAATTCAACCTCTATATTATTTTATGCTACAAGTTAAAACTATATAAATTATGTTTATATTATTTCTATTATGATGAGACATATTAAATCGCATAATTAAAATATTATTATAACTATTAAATTTTATTAAATATTAATTTTTTAAATTAATTAATATTATTAAAATATTTTCATAAAAATTGAAAGAAAGAAAGATTAAAAGAAATGATAATATATTTAAAATTCTGTTTAAAAAATTAAAATTCATAAATAATGAAATTAAAGTTATTGCCTTAAATGATTTATAAGTTTATTCATCTTTATCTACAAATAGTAATTATTATCATATGAATATGTTACATTATATAATTATAATAATTTACATAGTTTATCCATTTTTACATAGATTAATAATGCATATCAGCCTACGCATTTGTATGTTTAAAAATTACATATGCATTGTTGTACTTGTTATACGTATAATTTATTTTGGCATTGGCATAAAGATATTATTGTTAAATACAATAAATAGTTAATATTTAATAAAAAAGTACTATAATCAGAAAGTTTTCAAAATTAATATACAATAAATAAGAAAGAAAGAGGCAAAGTATCAGTACATAGAGCGCGCAATATGTAGATCAAATGGAACGTGTAGTATTGTACATTAAATAAAAAGTCTACAATTATATGCACGTATATCAATTAAAGATAATGCTATAATTGAGGTAAAAAGAAATTTCTACAAAAATCAGTCTTAGCAAGAAAATAAAATAAGTTGCATGATCATAAATGAATAACATGTAACACACGCTCTTTCTTCTCTTTTTTTGATATATACAAATATTTTGTAACAACGTAAATTATTAAACAAATATTATTAAATTATGGGTAAATTGCAAACAAAGTATAATTATTCGGTCCCTATGATGTTGAAATAGTTAAGTCAACATATAATTCTATATCTCGTGTTCTACATTTCAATATCGCGATTTTCAAAGCTCATTTTGAATAAATATTAAGACACTGACGATCGAACAGATATATTACACACAGTAATCACGTTTCATGGATTGAATAATGGAAACATAATTTTAGGGATGAAGGAGGAGGGCAAACATTTATGTTCCATTCATGATTTCGATATCCAGATATTCGTTGTGTGTGTGTATATATATTCTTACTAAAGCATCTATTTATTATAAGAACTTCATTTATCCAACAGCATATTTTTAAACCATTGTACAAGACGAGATCTGAGAAATTTATCAGAAAAATTATCATCGATCTATCATCGTGTAGATCATTATGCTGATACATCATAGGATTTCACGGTACCTTAATCATAGCACTCACGAAAGCGCAGATATATAATACACATAAATATATTACACATCGTTACTTTACGAATATATACATGCGGATATAATTTCGTTTGTTTTGCTATACATTTAAATGCGTATATATACGCACGTATACTTTGAGCGTATTATTTTCCACACAGGCTGTTCGATAGCTGCAACTAGATAGCTTTTATCCTGTGATTACTTTCTTGAAAATATATGCAAATATATTGATAAAACGAGAAGTTAAATATGAAATATATTATATTTATTATTATAAAATTATTTTTAAAATATATCACATATGTATATATTGTAATAGAAAAGTGATTAAGAAATTATAATACGTTTTAATCATTCTATTATATGTAAATATAATAGTTTTTTATATATAATTTACCTGCAAAATACGCCAAAATTCATTATCTTAATTTTAATGACAGTTTCGAGTAATTCTAGTTGTTGTTTATACATGAAAAAGAATAATTATTACATTCTGGCAAGGAAATAAAATCTCGCAATAAAATCTCGGAAATATAGAATGCGAGGATAAAAGATATCTTTAACAATCGATTGAGCCTAAAATAAATCTATCTAATATGTCTAATAAAATCGCACTTATAATGTAAAACACACTATTAGCGCATCAAATGTTCCCTTTAATACTGATACCATTAATGCTCACACACACAGTCGTTTCAGATTAATCTATTGTATTGTGTAACTTTTTTCTGTAATTTATATAGTTTTCTTAAATTTTTTGAGAAGCAGAAGATAATAGTTTACAATTTTATCAATTTTATGAACATTATTATTGTCAAAAAAATAATTTGCGTTGAATTAAAAATATGTTATTAAATATACATTCACAAATAATTATTATAAAAGACAATAAATCAAAAAGACAATAAATTTGCATGACAAAACATTACTTTTTGAAATAAATAATTTATATTTTTATGAGTAAAGCTATTTAAAATTTTTAAGCACCAAGAGAGGAAAGGATATTTTATTTTATAATTATTATATATATATAAGTTTCTCATTCTGATATAATATATATTTATTTATTTAATATATCTTGAAAATATGCATTTTTTAAAATATTATTGTGATTTTTTTTTAAAAAGAGATCTCTTCTAAAAAATTATTCTTTGGATTCTTTGATCTTGTTAGATATTACTTTACGTATGTGTGATTAAAAAATATATTATAGACGAATATTAACATATAAAAAATGTAAACAAAATACAAATTGTTTTATCATATGATATATATATATACTTAGCATTGAAAATTGTCGATCTCATTTATAACATTGTTTCTTAATGTGAAAAAAATCATTTTTGAATAATTCGTAAGATATATAAGTGACTGCACCAAGTTAAATTCACAATAATGAATAGTATGTGTATATTTGATGAAATTTATGAATTTATGAATTTATATAGTAGAAGAACCAACGTATTATCAGTTCTTTCTTGGACGGTGTAAGAAAATTACATGAGATTTATCGCAGATAATATTATGAAAATATTACAGAAAATATTTGTTGTCTTTGTATAATTTTGTTTTACTATAAAACTTTCTATTTTCTTTTAGTCTTTTATATGATAAAATACTTATATAATTTTATATACAAGATATCTCAAAACTAAAGTTTTGTTTCTTTAAAAAGCGAATTTTAATAATATCAAATTAATTATTTTGAAAAGAAATTTTATTAAATTAAATTTAAAAATTTTTAATGCACTATAAAATAAAAAATTTAGAATTGTTTTGCATTTTAATTGAAAATTTTTAATTAAATAATATTTAATATATTCTGTCGAATATTAACTATTTATTTATATCAAATATTTTATTATTAAATATAAGATAATAATTTGAGATATCCCGTATATACGTACATATATACATGCACGCTTCTCAGTATATGTATATATATATATATATATATATATATATATATGTATGTATATACATATGTATATAAAATTCTGTTGAAACAAAAATTACAGGAATTGAATGGTTAAAACTTAAATAGGTACAAATGTATTATTTTTCATTAATATATATACCTGTATATATATACCTGTATATATATATATATATATATATATATATATATATATAGTATATATATATCACTGACAACTTCTGATTAAAAATTAAAAGATTTTACAATTATAGCACAGATGTGTTCATCCATCTTATTTTGATTACAAGGAACTGTGAAATAAAGCTATTTTGTGTGAAATTTTGCAATATGAGATCGTTCATTTATAATTATCATTATATTTTATGTAGAAAAAATTGTAGATTATCGAATCGAAAAGACATCAATCCATTAGATCAAACATATTAGTAATTTTATTTTTATTTTAAGATAATTGTCATGCTCTTAATCTAATTATCATGCCGTATTAAAAGCGGGCTGAGCTTTAAGTAATATCAATGAAAATTGATTGTAAAAAATATTATTATATATAAACGATATTAAAGCGTACATGTATTATAAAAGCGAAAATTTTTGAAGAATAAGAAAATTCCTACAATCATTTCTGCAATCAATCCTGCATTCATTATTAGAAAGTATAACTTAGATATATAATTTATGTATTTTTAAATTGGTATACATTCCTGCAAAAATAATAATTGTGAATTTTCTATATTATTTGTAAGAAAAATGAGTTATGTTCTTTTTGTAACAATCAATCGTTAGTGTAGGCAAGTAAAATTATTAAAAATCTTCCGACGTAAAATATAAATCTGCAAAGAAATTAATGCGACCACATCTCAGATATCGTGACTTTAAACCAGAGAGACCATGACGCGTTTCCGCGACGTAGAATGTAACATAGTAAAGTGCCCACTTCTGCGAGAGGATTGAGCCGTCAGAGATGTTGTCACGGTCGTTCTTGTACTATTATTCGTTGCTCCGATACCGAAGCAGTGATGTGAATTTGTCGGGCACCAACTCGAAATCCAAGAGATTGCCTGCATGTTCCTATCAAGCAATAATTGCTTTAACTTTAAGAGATAGCGGAAAATTGCGATGTCCGATCTTTTATTCTGAGAAAATATTATGTCCATCGCGAATATTGCTTCGAAAATAAGAAATTTGAACATTATGTAAAAAAATATCTTTTGCAGCAAATTTTACAGCTATCTTGATGATAGCTCTTGTGAATTAAACATTTTTATTTGTTACTTAATTTTATAAAAATTATTAATATTTTAGGACTATGATAGGTGTTCTTCCATAAGAATTTTTATCTCATATTTAAGAAAAATGCTCTTTCAAATAGATTCGAAAACAGAAAAATACTCTTTCAAATAGATTCGAATCGAATAGTAAAATTAATTTTAAGATTATAACCATAATTATATGTAATTTATAATTAATGTACTCACCGTACAGTTTTACAAAACGGAGTACTGAACAGACAATAAATGATTGGGTTAGCGGCTGAATTGAGCGGCGTCAAACTTTGTATGAAACTGGCGATTGCGATATTCGTTTGAGTTTGTGGTACATGTCCATAAACTTGAAGAAGATCGAAGACTATGTATGGACTCCAGCAAAGGATAAACACTGAAATATAAAATTGTTCTTCGCTTACATTGTATCATATATACTAATTTATGTTACGTTTATAATACAATGTTATTATGAAATTTGCAGAAATATACAAACATTAGAATAAGAATCCACAGATATTATTATAATATTTAAAAAATAAGAAATATACGTAATTAATATATTAATAAAAGAAATTATAAAAAATTATTAAAAAACTTATATCAAACAATAAAAATATATTTATCTAGCATCATCCAAAAGTAAAAAAGACATACTATTTTTATATAATAAAAATGTTATAAATAAAATACTATTAAATATATACCGTTAATTTCATTTAAGAGAATTGCCGTTTTTATCTTACATTACAAAGAGCGTTACAAAAATTCTGAGAGAATTTTAAATTTGTGTCAATTTAAATAATTCATTTAAATAATGAATAGTTAAGGATATTTATATAGTAAGGATATTTATATAGTAAGGATATTTATCTCTTTGAATCATACTTTAATTTATATCGTAGTTTCCGTTTTAGCATATAATCGTCAATATAAAAAATATAGATGATTATATTTGATTTGATCGCTTTTGATCGAAATGTTTATTAAATCATTAATGACTTTTCTTTAAATATTTTTTCTTTGGAAATGTCTTTGTTTAATTTTTGTAATACATTATTATTATTTAATTTATTAAATACTTAAATCATCAGACTGATGCCATTTCAATATAACATTAAATTGAATAATATAATTCTCATATAACTCATATAATTGCATGGATAATAATATAGGTAAGATAATTCGTAAAAGTAATTATATATTTTATTAAAAATTAATTATATATACTATATACTATAATTAAAAAATATTAATGTATATATATATATATATATATATATATATATAATTAATATATATAATTATATATTTTATTAAAAATTTAATAAAATATATTGAAAATATTTTTATAATTTGTAATAAAATTAATTCATTAAAAATCTTTGTTTTTTAATCGATTAAAATTTAAGAACTATTAGTATTTGGACAGTCTTGTTAAAAAATTGATTTTTAATTTATCAGATAATTTTTTATGTGGAAATTAAAGAAGTTATAAAGTATTATATTTTGACAGATACTGATATAGACTTAATAGATATAATCTTCTTTTATTTTTCAATAAATCCACGACCAAAAAAGAATTAAGTACTATCATTTCACCGATATTGGAAAAGCTACAAGTTGAGAGAAGATATCAGTCTCAAACAGGAAAAAGGCAGAACATCTGACACACGATAAAATAACTTTTCAAACTAAAAAAGCAAAGCAGCTTTAAAACTGTTCTTACGGCTAATTCATTTCTTGTTTGAGAACATTTATCTTCTGACTTTTCTGTTTATCCAATATTATTCTGTATTATTTATCTATAAATAATGACAAATCATCGAATCCATTAATATGTATAATTTTAGAAATATTGTTACATCTACAATCTGATAGAATAATTCAAAGAAATGATTCAGTAAAATAAGGCGACAGTATTTTGTCAATTTAAAGAATGTTTGCAACAATTAAAATATTATAAAAGAATTTTTTAGAAAAGATTACAATTCATTTTCTTATACGACACAAAATGCGAAAAAATTTTTTAGGACTTCTAAGATCTTAAATATATAATATATAATAAATAATAATATATAATAAATACATATACAAATATATATATATATATATATATATATATAAAATAAAAAAATAGATATGATAAACAAATATATAATATATAAATCAACATAATTTTATGTTTCTTAAAGAAAATTAAGCGAAATATTGTGGAAGAGCAAAATATGAGCAAGATATTGTGGAAATAAATTATTTATATAAATGTATAAAACATATAAAAATTTAATATCTCTGTATATAATTTTGATACTTGTAATATTTTGATAATTGTAATATTCTTTTTATGTAAAATTATATTTATAATTTGTTAAAGTTGCATTATATTAGCGATAAAATTTAAAAAGCTTTATTGTTAAATTTATGTATTGTTTCATTTATTCACAAAATCATTTTACACGTATCTGAGACTTTAATAATGTATTTATCTCCAAGCTGCATTAAATAATTTTAAATTTAAACTTTCATTGTATGCTTTTATTATATGCTTTTGCATTATTATTTGAGAATATTGTAATGATTTATCGAAAATTGATTTTCAATTTTGTGAGTAGTGTCTCTCTAATGATGCATGATTACGCAATTTAAATTTAATTAAACGTAAATCGAAGTATCTGATTCGTCATCGCGATGAGTGTGCAATACTTTAATGTCCCATCATAAACGTTTCTAAAGCAATGAATGATCGCATTGTGCGTCTTCTTTATAATTGACGGATGAATATATCTATTGTTATTTCGAGAATGGGAATATTGCTGGCATATAAATAATAGTATATACGACAAGTTTATTGCTACGATCGATATATCGATACTTTTTGTAGTCATCTTAGAAGGAATAGTTGTTAAAAGAAATTTATTATGTGAAAGTTTTAATAAAAAGCTTGTAAATTTGTAAACAAAATAAATAAATTTTCATATATTTTTTAGAAATTAATTTTTTATATTAAACATAAAATTTTGATTAAAAATATTTTTATTTAGTCTATTTTTATAGTCTATTAAATCTATTAAAAAGGCAAAAAGAAGAAAATTTGATATCCATATATTATTATAAAATATTTTATATCAAAATACTTTTAATGCTTATTTAAAAAAGAGAATAAGCAAAATTTGTTAAATACTAAAAAATTTGCAAAAGTTAGAATATTTTTAATAATATACCGTTTTATTTAGTTATTGCTATTTTTTTGTAAAATTGCACTAATGATAATAGTTTCTAAAAAAATTAACATTTAACAATTATTTAACAAAAAATTTAGCAATATCTTCTCACAAACTGTTCAATAATTTCAATAATTAAAAGATAATTTTGATAGTAGAAAATAGTACACAATAATTTTAATAAGAGAAATATTAGTTTAAAATAAAAAGATTTTTTGATTTATGGAAGTATATGGATACTATCTCGAAATATCAAAAGTAAAACGCATCATAAGCGTAATCGCAAAAAAAATATACGCACGATATATTATATACAATTTAAAATCAGAAAACGAGATTATGTTGCTATTGTAACTGCAGCATTTATGCGAAATTTATTTTGTGTGCATTATTTCTTTGTTTTGTTTTCTTCCACTTTAGCGGATTTTACGGATTATCCTTTTCAGAAAACACCAAAAGAAAATACTTTTAGTATTTTTATCGAGTTTTATCGACGGTCGTCGTCAACTAAAAAGGAAGAAATTTTGCTGTTGTCAATTGAAGGGAACAAATTTGATTCGCTTCATGATGATGATATTTTGTACATGTAAAGTCAATTCTAGGATGAAAAGATAAGCATGCCATTCGTGAAAAAACTTCATACTGCAGCTGTTAAAATATATTAACAGCTACAATAAAATAACTCAAATGAGTAATTAAAATAAATGAATAAGAGTTTAAATAAAATTAAAACTAATGAATAAAAAACATCTATTTAATTTTCTCTAAGAATGTCTAAAAATAAAATGTCGAGATTTATGAGGTATACTAGATACATATTACAATTATAAAAGAATATCTCATATATGATTAAAATTCATGTCGATTTATTATAGTTTGTTTTGTTATATAATCAAGTAAAATAATCTTCATGTAAAAGTATCTAAAAGTATCTCTTTTTTTATAGGCACTGTATTTATATTCACAAAACTATACACACACACACACACACACACACATATATATATATATATGTATATATGAGTTAATCAAACTGATTAAATTGAGATCTTATCATTATGTGTAAAATAATTGAGTAGGTCTCATATTTTTATCCGTCATTTATCAATTTAGTGCCGTGTTTTATTCTCAGATACACTGTACATACAATTCTTTTTGTCTTTACATAGTTTTCGTATTCATATAAAAATATTGAATAGAGAATACAACCGTTTATTTCTTGTAGTGCGTCTTTTACGTTGCAAATAAAATGGCTCACTGCTCTCGTATCAAAGATATAGAAAAAGATGATATGAGGTTGTTACTTTTTATTATCACAAAATAGACGCGCTGTCTTCTAGAATATCACTCCGTTTCTGTTATTACCATCCATGACAAAATATTCGTATACATACGTCAAAGCAAGAAAAGACACTCGTGTCTTGAATATATACGTAGTCTGTCAGAATCTAAAAATTTGCTTTACATCTACGAACAACGCATGAATATAACAAGTAATCATAAAATTATGCGTTAAATCTTAAAGTATAACTTTACAAGTCAAATCAAAGAAGTTTATGTAAATATTTGCTTGAAAAGATTTTCTTCAAGACTCTGAATCTCCTTTGAAGTGGATTTTGATGATGTAATAGAATTTGATACTACTTTATTTGTTATAATCATTTCTAACTTTTGGTTTTATAATATTTAAATAAATATAAGTAATCTTTTTATAAATTTATATATAAAAATATGCTAAATAATAAAAAAATATATGCTTTTTAATTTTATAGATGGCATGCCTGTCATTCGAATATTATAATATAAATCATCCACAATAGAATTAAGCTACACTTAAATTTATTGAACATTAAACATATTTCCTATTCTTATGTTTTTACATTTTTAAATTTTTTATCTCTTATTATCAATTCGACAAATATATATGTATATATATATATATATATATATATATATATATTTTTTTTTTTTTCTTACTTCTCTATAAATAAGATAATACAATTTCTTTTACGTTTACAACTAATTTACAAATAATTTAATTAAATAATATTGCAAACACTTCACATTAGCAAAATTTCTGTAAATGATTTGCATCTTACCGAAAACTATTACGAAAGTCATCTTAACGGTTTTGATTTTCGCCCTGGGAATGAGACCTCTCGAAGACGCCCTTCGAGTATCTCTAGTCGGTCCTTGACGTAACGCTGCTCCTTGCGACCATATTGTAACCACGATGACTGTGTAACAGCCTCCTATTATCAGGGTGGGCGCTATAAAGAGGCTGAAACTCACTAGACTCATGTAGATCTTCCATTGGGTCGGGGAACCCAAATCGATCCAGCACTGTGTCGTACCCTATAAAAAGATCTTCTGCGATTAGGCTCACCTTGTGAGTATCACGCACCTTTGATTTTCGATTACTAAAAGGTTCTTTCAAAAAAATGGGAAAATAGGATATCGTAACGTTACCTAATGACATATTTTATTTTCATAGTTTGAAAAAAAACATAATATAAAAAAATTCAAAAATATTTTTGAATCATTTAAAACATTTTTGGCAACAATTTTGCAATGTCTATAGTTTTTAAGCAATTGCTGCATTTAAGAAATGTACCTGTATTCGTTTCTCTTCGTATAGAAATATCATTGGCATACTGAATAACGCTGATAGAGCCCAAGCCGTAATTACCAAAACTCGAGCTCTCCACCCTATGATTAAAAATAATACATCAATCTTCAAATTAATTTATTTTAATACATGCTAATTAATACATGTATATAATGAGAAAAATAACCTAACAAATATTAGAAATATGACACGAAATGTTTAGATTGAGACAAGTTTATTTTTAACATAAATACACATTTTTTTCATAAAAGTATTTATTATTTGATTGATTATTCTATTCTTGCTTATGTTACAATTTTTGTAGCAATCTATATATATATATATTTTTTTTTTTTTTTTTTTTAATAATCCAAGATACATATAAATGTAATATGTTACTTTAGAGTATAGCAAAAGTTCAATTTTTTAAAAATAGAATTAAGATTAACAAATTGTTCTGTGAATCTGTTATGTAATTAGCACTGATCTGTAATATAAGAACCGATAAAAATATCACTCTTATATTAATTCATTGATGGTAGAATATCAAGAAATGTTCGAACATGATTGTAATTTAGAATCGGACATCTTCAATTTCCAGCCACGAGACAAGCCACGAAAATGTCGATAGAAGACAGAAGATAAATTTTATATCAGTGCAAGATACACATCGCAACAATCTGTGAGATACCTTGATGTGATAGACATGACCATTTCTAGTAGAAAAATAAAAGAATTCGGTGACTATCCTTTCTCCATTCTTCATATCACGTCGAAAAAAAAGAAACCGACAAAAAAATATAATTGACATCAGAAGCATGCAATATTAATTTTGGAAAGAACCATTGCGTCACAAGTGCGTCACTAAAATAATAATCTGATTGTCATTAGTTATTCGATAGATATTATTGCTGTTTGCCAAAATAATAATATTTTTGTGGAAAATCTCATAAATGTGTGCCATCGATTTTCACTAATTTTCACTTTAAAACTATCTATCAAATTCTGCGAGTAAAAATATGCAGCATCTATTATATAGGAGTCAAGGTGATTTCTTAGCAGTAAATATGAAAAATAAAATATAAGAAAGGAAAAGAAAAATGCTGATTCTCAACTACCCTATTTCTCGTGACATAAATGCGAAAATAAATGCATTTCATTGCGAAGTGAACGTTACTCTATGAGATTGATAGATATCTGTAACATAATCTTTGATTTACTATGATCAGAAACATATGGTTAAAAACACATATTAAAACTGCGTTACAAACAACTCCATTATTGTATAATTACGATATAAAATAAACAGGAAAATAATGACTAATTAGAAGGGGATTTATTCTTTTTCTCACTGTTAATTATAAAAGATTTACATTTTTATTAACATTATTCTCCCTTCATTATTATTGTTTCAAATTTTCCTTATTTTATATAAATATTGTTCTTATTTTTTACTAATTTTAAAAGAGAGCGAGTCTAAAAGAGAGCGAGTCTCTCAAATAATATTTTTTTCTTTTAAGATTGTTAATTAACTGTATTATGTGTAAGCTTTCAAAATATTTTTCTTTATTTATTAAAGGCAATTAAAAATTTTCCCATATAAAGACGAGAATGGTATTTTCACTTTGAAATATCGGACGCCTCGTGTCGCATATATTTCACGAAGTTGAAACTAAATTAATAATAAGTTTAGCTCAGTAGTGCTGCTTTGTAAGGGGATCTAACATTAAAGGCCGAGATCATATGCGCGCTAATGTACTCACAGCTGCCCGAGAAATTCATCGGGCGAGTGATGGCGTCGTATCTGTCGATTGACAAAGCCACAAGGACATAAGTTGAGCTGTAGGTCACTACGGCCTGCATAAACCTTATCAGCTTGCAAGCTACATTTCCCGCGTACCACGTGACCGTCGTTCTCCAGATTATGTCTGTCAGTACGGATATTAGGCCAACTAGTAGATCTGCAACAAGATACATGATCATAGATTGTGATATATGTATATTGCTCACAAATCGATGTTCATTATCAGTGCTTCGTCATCAATATATGGGGGGATTTCTCTATTCTATAAATTTCTCAAATACCTGAAGTCATCAAATATAAAATATACGGTTATATTAATATAATATATGTAAAATATATAAAATATATAATTAAATATATAAATTGATACAAATGGCAATATGAGTCTAGTGTCGATATTGTTACACCGTTATTTATTATATAAAAAAAACAATTATATAAAAACATTTATTTAATAAATATACATATGAGTGGATTGCGAACGTTTCGACTCTATTTTTGGGTCATCTTCAGCGCAAATATAAACGGAATAAATAATAATAATACATTAATTGTTACATAATAGGAGTTACAATTATGTAACAATTACTGTACAATTACTATTATTATGTACAATTACTATTATTATTTATTCCGTTTATATTTGCGCTGAAGATGACCCAAAAATAGAGTCGAAACGTTCGCAATCTACTCATATGTATATTTATTAAATGAATGTTTTTATATGATTGTTTTTTTTATATAATAAATAACGATGTAACAATATCGACACTAGACTCATATTGCCATTTGTATCAATTTATATATTTAATTTTATATTCGTGAGTCTGACATTTTAAAATATATAAAATAAAATATATAAAATTCTTTTCGTAACAGGATTAATCACAAACACACACACACACACGCATGCAAGTACGCACATCTTGTAACAATAAAAATGAAATACAAAATAAATGAGATAAGAAAAAATTTTTATTAACTTTTTATTTAGAATATTAATTATTATATCTTTTTTCGGATTAATCTATAGATTTTCGTTTGCATATTTATATATATAGACAAATTGAGTTTTCCTTTGCACATAAGTAGAAAAAAAGATATTAAGAAAAAAAGCTTAAGGGACTTAGTTCACACTCAAAGAAGTTCAAATCTTTTAAAATCTTTCTAAAAGCATGTCATACAGAAATAGGAGAATCTTAAAAGAACGTGAGAGAAAACACTGAACGAATAAGTAATGAGCAAAAAGCAGTGCGAGAAAAAAGAGCCCATATATAAGCATAAAATTATATATACCTATTTTATTTATATAAAAAAATATATGTGCCCATATATATATATATATATATATATATATATATAAAATCATATTTAAAGTTATTAATAAAGTTGATATTGATTGAATTAAAATGAGTAATTTCATATATAGAATAAAGGAGCTAAGAAAGTGCCGCATTATTATATATAATGTATGTAATATCAATTTTTACATATACATATACATATACATACATATATATATATATATATATATATATATATATATATGTAAATATTATATTATTTATATTTATGTATTTATAATTATATATAATATTTTTTATATTAATTTATATTACGCAATAAAAGTAAACAAATGGCGCACGCATACGCATGTTTTGTAATGTTCTAAGAAAAAAGATATAATAATTAATATTCTAAATAAAAAGTTAATAAAAATTTTTTCTTATCTCATTTATTTTGTATTTCATTTTTATTGTTACAAGATGTACGTACGTGCATGCGTGTGTGTGTGTGTTTGTGATTAATGTATTTGATTTGTAAAATTTTTGTATGTAATAACTTCGGGATTATTTTAACAAAGGGATATAAATGATATTGCGTTATACGCAAATTCTCGTATGAAATTATATGTAAAATTTTAATAATGCAAACGCATAAATTTTCGGAATCATAAAGGTATCGCGTAATTGTTAATTAGCTTATGAAGCTATTTATAAAATGAAAATCTATTTTGACCACAGAATAAATATTTCTCTAAATGTGCAGTACATTCAGTTTATAGCTTGTTTTGCTTTATATCGCATTATTTTGCATTTACGCAAGATTATAATTAAAAATCGTTGACATACAGCACAAAATGCTGGCGTATAGAGTGTGACAGAACGCGACATAAATACATCGGTAATTTTGACATTTCTATATTGTGACATTTGCGCGCGCGCGTGTATAAAAAATGTTAGAAATTAAAGATTTTAAAACAGTGTTTTTTCATAAAGTTATATTATATTATGTCCATTTTGTAATTAATCCAAAAAAGGAGTTAAGTTAAGAATGATATCTTAAAAAAATCGGTGCAAAGTTTTCATCAATTATTACGAAATATTAAACAAAACTTATATTATTAGGATTTTATTTAGATTTAAGCTATATATGTATACACACACACACATTATTGTCATTTTAATGTAATATCAAATATTTTTATATATTTATAGATTTATATTATATATTTTATATTTTTATAAATTTTAATGTCAACGATAATTCAGTTTTGGTGACGGTCAATGTGTGCATTGCTCTATTTGAGAATATAATTTTTATTATATTACTTTTATTACAGTAACTGATATAAGATTTCAAAAAGACAATGATGTTATGTATAACATGTAATTTACGTGTAATGTGTATAGCCTTACTTTTTTAAATACTATATCACATCCAACATATTTTTTAGTAGATTTTTATGAATTAAAATAATTAAGATTTTCTTTTATAGATGAATTGGAATGGTATTTGTGGGTAAAACTTGAATTATAATGATCGTAATAGTATGTTATTTTATAATCTTGCATAAAAAATAGATTTCTTAATAATAATTTTAAAGAGCTTTATACATGCTTTTGATCATAAAAACAGTTGGGAAAGAGAGAATGCAGCCACAACTTCTCGCAACTGTTAATCTGTAAATAAACCAAGCTGATCCCTTGTTTTTATCACTATATTTTATCGCTATATTTCATCGACGAAATAGAATTCGATTTCACCTTCGTGACTAGATAACATCGCAATATTAATGTCGAAATTGAAGAATAATTGCTTCCAGTATAATGGAAAATTGCGCCAGGAGTAATTAAACTAAAAAGCAATTTGTTACCATTAAAACATAATAGTACATATACAGTGTCTAATAATTTTTTAGTTATATAATTTTAGTATATGTCTAATAATTTTTTACTTTCATAAAGTTCATCTTAAGTGATGAAGTTTATCTTAATGTTTAAAGTTTATCTTAAGTGATAAAGAGTTTATTCTTCTTGAAAAATCTTTCTTCTTACCTATTTTAAAATAAACGATTTTATTGTTATGATTTATTAATGCTAGCTCAATGTATAATTTTAATTTCAAATTTTACAGTATTTTTTAGTACGATTTCCAAAATTTTACAACATATTTTCCATAATATTGGGAATATATACATATATATTTTTTTTCCAACGGATTTTAATACCTTCAATTTTGAGAATTTGCAATAGAGTATTAGAATTGAAGATTCTAGAACATATTCGCAATTCATTTACGAAAATCTTCCTTAGGAATGATCAAATTTGTTCGAGTTAATGGCTATATTTCAAAGTATTCCTATATATTTCCAACCTAGATGTTCTCAGATAATATTGAAATCTTTTAATATCTTTATGCTTCGCAACTTTATGGAATTGGATTTAATTAACTTTTCTCAATTTTATTTTATCGTTGGTTACTCATGTTCAACGTTTCAAACTATCAATCAAAGATAGAAAAATTTTATTGCTTAATAAAAATTCAATTTTATTGCTCAATAAAATTAATAATGTATAGAACTCAATCAGTTTGCTGATCTTATAATGATTTAATTACTTTTAATAAATATAAAAATATATTTTTAATTTTTTTCTCAATTTTAAAATCTTGAGTTTTCTACAAACAATTTTTAACTATCATCTGGAGAAACATTTTTCTCTTTATAATGCATTTAAAAATGCATATTTTCTATAGTATATTATATATTATTTACATATTATTTCATATATATTTTATACTGTGTCATAAAAATATTTTTTTTTCCATTTCATAGATATATTAGCTTTGTGATAAATGTTTTCTTAATGCTGCAAGTTATTATGCAAATAATATACGAGAAAGAGTAAGCAGAATTAACGATTACCAAATTATTTGTTATTAAAATAGTAGAGATTTTAAATTATTTTGGATTAAAATTTTTCCATAATAGAAGTATAGTGTATATACAATATTATATTTATAAATATTATATGCATAATAATATATGATATTCTAATTGTTAAAATATATTTAATTAGTCACAATTATAATATTATTGCAAAAAAAGGTATCTTTCTATTAATGTGCTTGTTTTGCTTGTGAGCAGAAACATATATATCAATATATATGTATATGTAGATGGTTGCAACATAATATGACAAACTTTTACATCATATACGCGCGATCATTCGTGTTTCCAATATCCCGCAACGTAAAGATACGTTAGAAAAAGAAAAAGAAATGTTTATCTATAGAATATGTCTACAGAAAAGGATGTACTATCGTTTCCTCAGAGTTTGAATTAAAACAAACATTAAAACAAACATTATTAAAAGCGAGAGATTTATGAGAAAAATTTTACATTCTATGTATATAATTTATATAATAATTTATATATTTATGTATTTAGAATATTTTTTGCCTCCCTTTGTTGTTTAGATGATCATTGACACTACGGAAGTAAAAAAATCTTGTTTCTTTTATTATTTCAAACTTTATTATAATTTTAACAGAATTAATAATACAAAATTTTTTGAAACTGTGTTACTTATCGCTTATATTATATGTAGTTCAATTTATTGTCTAATTTGAAAAATCGATTTTTTGATAAAAAATATTAAAATATTATCATTTTTTGAAATGTTAAAAATAAGCACTTACCCGCAAATGCTAATTGTTTGATGAAAAAATCCATTCGAGATTTTCTGCGTTTTCCCAGCAGAAGTCCGGCGAGAACAGCAATATTGCCGGCGACTATTACCGCAAATAACAGCCATAGTACTGCGAATTGTTCCGTCTATAAGGAAGAAAACGTTTGTTTCATTCTTATGAAAATATCATCTCAAAATTTTAATATGCAATAATTGAAAGCATTTTAATTTTTAAAAAGTTTTAGATTTCTTGATACATTTAAAAAAAAGTTCTAAATGGATTATAAAATGAGATTAAATTAAAAAATACAAATTTCAACTTTAAATTTCCGTCATATGAAAATAATAATAATAATTTTTTTATTTTTTTAAATGAGATATATATTTAACAGCTACAATTCTTATATATATATATATATATATATATATATATATATATATATATATACCATGTATTTAAAAGCCATAATTCTTATTTAATGGCTAGAAATCTTTTTAAAATGTATATGTAAGAAACTTTAGAATATTTTAAAAACTCTACATCAATTTTCTATAGATTAAAATTTTTAAAATAGCATGTTTTGAATAAAATCACAGTTAGTTTTTTGCACATTGAAGACCATTTTCAAAATATATTTATTTTTCAAATTATAATTAAACATTTATTTTAAGAGAAAAAATACATATATTATTTAAAAGATTCTAATGTGTCATAAATATACTCATCATAAAAATTGCAGATTATAATGTACTCAGAATGTAAGATTACTCCGCAGTTACATAAATCTTTAATAATATATAGATGAATGAATAATATAGATTTACCTGAGACACAGATACATTATTTTTGTATTGTATGTCGTAATCTCAATAACAATCTAATGAAATGTTAGATAGCCATTTACTAATCACTTGCATTATCCAAATAATCGGTTTTGATGGTTAGTTTGATGCATGTGGTCTTGCATCGTATACATTGCGAACTGTTTAACGAGGGTGACGTTTGAGTGTTAATTTCAACATCATTTGCATTTCCACTATGCATAGAAGGGCAACCTAATTTACTTCAGAATACGCGGCCGATATGATATGTAGCATAATTCGATGGTAACGAATTAGGTAGATAATTAGGATATTTTTAATTAGGAGAATCCTATAACTCTTTGATGCATTCAGACATTTATATGTATATTCTATTCTATAGATAACAACAATATTTTAGCAGAGTTGGGAACATTACTTCAAAAAAGTAACGTGTTACCGTTAGCATTACTTTTCGTGAAAAATAACTCGTTACCGTTACTGTTAAAAAGTAACGATTCGTTACTTTTTCGTTACTTTCTATAATACAAAAATTAAATTAATTTATTTTAAAATATAATTATTGTTTTAGAGTATTTATTATAGTTGATTTTAAAATATAATTATTACTTTTATATATTCGATAATTATAAATTATTCCATCATTGATATCATCAATTTCTTCATATTCAATTTTTCATTTATTGTAATTTAGAAATTTTAGATTTATGAATACAGAGAAAAACATTATGTATATAATTTTCCAAAATATTTGCAAATTGTGTGTGTGTTTTGTAATAAGAATAAATTTTCCAATTACTAAGAGGATACTATTCAGGATTACAAAATTAAAGTAACGATAAAAGTAACGATTAAATTCGTTACCGTTACTGTAAAAATGTAACCAAAAAAAAAATGTAACGTTATCGTTACAGACAGAAAAAAGTAACGATCGTTACCGAAAAAAAGTAACGGTAACGGTAACGACAAGTTACAAATAACGCGTTACTTCCCAACTCTGTATTTTAGTTATAGCAAACCTTAAATATTATAGATAATAAAATATCTTTTAACCTCAGATATTGGTTAAAAATTTTAAGCTTATTATTAATCTAATCTTTTATGCTTATTTATGCTTTTATGCTTTTATGCTTTTATTACTAATTGAAAAAATAGCAAAGGACGAATAAAATATGGCAAGTAATTTATAAATTATTCTCATATTATTTTCAGACGTATGGTTTGTTTTTTTTCATTTTCATGAAAATAATTTATTCTAAATTATCATCTAATATAACGCATATATGTGTACAAAATATTTTAGTTTTTATTTTAAAATATTTTTCAAATATCTATAATAAAATATTTTTTTGTAATTGATATATATATATATATATATATATATATATATATTAGTATTCTATAAAATATTTTATAATAATACAATTATTTATTTATTTATATCCTTTATATATTATATTTATTTATTTATATGTATCTTTGTGTATAAGAAATAGATTTTTTTATTAAATTTATTAAACATTTGTATTTAAAAAAATACTTTTTGATTATTACAATTTACAATATTAAATATCTGTTAATGAAGGCAAAAAAATTGATCGCGTCTAATAATTAATTGTGTAATTAATAAATTTAGACACTTTGTTTTATATACATTAGATTTATAAAAATATTAATTGATTGTATTTGCACTTAATTTGCGGAATCTGAGGATAGCAGTATAATTTTGGTAATAATTATATATGTATATAGTAATTTTCTCAGTATTTATTATTGTAACATTTGTGAATTAGAATTCAATTTTTCTTTATTAAAAAAAATTATCGTCATGTAATCTTTTATTTAACATTATATAAATAAATATTACACTGAAAAAAAATTCTAACTTTGATTAAATATACTTACTACGTACATGATATAAAAATTGGAAGCGCTATAATGAATCACCTTACATTATTCACATTATTCGCATAAAAATTTTACACATAAATTATGTATATAAAATTCTATATAATATAATTTTCTTTCATACTATAATTTTTCGTCTCACAAATTATATTATATTATATTATAAATTATATTATATTATAAATTTATATAACACAACCCCCCATGGGTACACCTTGACGCGGTGGGGTGGCTCAGTACCTGGACGGTGCCTTAAGGATATTAAGATTTCTTAGTATTCTAAAGGTCTACTGTGAAGGGGAAGCTAAGTACCCATTTTTGCATAGCTTTGCCACGAGTCTTAATGGCTCATATATGGCACTCGGGTTCTTTTGTGCCGTTGGGGCCGTCATCGTGCGCGGATGGTATCGGCGTTTCCGTGTTTTCGCGTTATCGCGTTGTCGCGTTAAATTGGATTGATATTCTGATTCCATCAATCGATAGTTTTCTTTCGTTTCGGACTTAACTTTTGCTCGGAGATAATATTGACTTCTCAACCTGTTGACTCGATTGTGATTCTTCGTGTGAAACGGATATCTCGATCCGTAATTCATACCGAAATTCGGGAGTGCCTTCAAAGTATCGCGCGTACAAGTGCGGAGATAGCGATAAAAATATCGCACGTAATAAGTGCGGGAGTGCCAATAAGTATCGCGCGTCTAACTGGATGCGGATCTGAGAGGAGGAGGAGGCCTAGGAGAGGCATCGAGCGCCGACGGAGCAATTCTATGGTAAATAATTCATTATTTGTATATTAATTATTTATTAATTGCGCACACGCGATTTAAATTAAGCGATTAATCGTATAATTTAATTTTTTTACATAAATTATAAACAAGAAAAAATTGAAGAAAAAGATTTTCATATATAAAAGTTACAATCTTGTAAAAGTTTCTACTTTTAAAACATTATAATATAATTATAATATAATTATAACTTTTACATAGAGTTATTAGAGAATTATTAATTATATAGTTATATAGTTTCTTAGAGAATTATTAATTATATAGTTTCTTTTTAATTTGCAAATTTTTTTTATCTGCTTATTACTTTTTTTATATACATCGAATATAAAATTCAATGCGTACAATAATATTTTTTAAAAATATTAATTATTTTGCTGCTATAATTTAGGTCTTTTCTTTGTTTACTACAGACCTAGATAGTCTGAGAGAAGGAGGAGACTTAGGAGGAGAGGCATCTTGCATCGGCGAAACAGCCTAAGGTGAGTGCCAAAAACGATAGTTATTTTAGTATTTTTAAATTTTTATTTTTTTTGGAAAAAGAAAAAATGTTTAATATATTTTATTAAATGTAATAAAAAAATGAGATTTAAAAGTATTATTCGAATCATTTATTATTGTTGGATACAACTATAAAAAAATAGTTTATATTAGAATTATAAGTAAAGAATTGTGAGTAAAATTTGCATGTGTTACTATATATACATATATACATATATACATATATATATATATATATATATATATATATACACTTTAATTGAAGTGATAAATTAGAAATAAGTTGAGAAGTTTATCTGTTTCAATATAATTTGTTTCTTACAATTAGTTCTGAAAAGTTTTATAAGTAAACTTTACACATGAGAAAAGATGAAAATTCCGAAATTCCAATGTCCAATCTGTCACAATCCGCCTGTCTAGCGGATTACATGCCTTCTGGCTTGACAGAAATCACCGGCATTGGTATTTTTTTCCAAATGGGTGAATGACTTCGTATCCACCCATAGGGCGAAAAGAATATCGCCGAATCAACGAAAATCTTGAGATTGACCATAGTATTACGTGTTCCATTTGTCTGCCTCTCTTTTTTCTCCGCACTCAGCACTAAATTTATGTTTCTATTCCGCAAACTGCGAATTCCGATGGGACTTATATGATAAACGATTTAGGTCACTTTAGATTTTGTTAAGATTCCTACATCGTACTTGATCAGAATATCGGAATATTTTATTTACGGAATATTTTATTAAATGGATTATCCATTTGACCATAAAAAAAGAATTGTTCGCTTTTCATTTAAAATTCTGTTCAATTAATAATTTCCAAGATAATTGACTGTTCCGGGATTTTTTATTGTATCCTGTATATTGTTGTTTAACATGATAAAGATATAATTTATAATATATTTGTATATGACTATAGAATGTGGATTACATGGTAACATATATTATCAAACATGTAATGTTTAATTCCATGGAAAATATAGGAAAATATTTATAAATTATTATCAATTATTATTAATATATATTCAATGCTTATATATTTATTCGTAATTATATTTATTCGAAATTTCAATGCTTATATATTTATTCGTAATTAATAATCAAAATATAAATTAGATATATGCAGAATGC